AAAATGAAGAAAATCATATTTATAACTTCATCTGAAGCGTTAATAAATCGACCTTGAGCAACTAGAAAGGAATTTTTTTTTGTTTTATTTAAAATACACGTTACAATAAATAAATAAAGCATACAGAGTCAGATAATACAAAAACAATTATGTCTTCATAAGCAAAACATACTGCTCGTGTTACATTGCCTTTAGATAATCTAGAAAGGAAATTAAAATATAATTTTAGGGTAGGTTGAGTTTCTAGGCTTTCTATGTACTCTTGCGCTGCCCTCCGCACCATGCATATCGGATGCACATGAAAATAGATGTTTCGGTCGTTGCGCGATCCCGAAGTAGGTGTCTGCGTATTCTGTAAGCCAAGCCCTCTCTTTTGTGGACGCAAAATGAATAGTACAGAGTGCGGCTTAAGTTTTTTATGCAGCTATCAACACTGTGGACGCAAAAGGAATATGTTGAAAATGGTTAATAGTTGATGGTTAAGACAGATGCGCAACAGTTGGATATCTTTATTATGGAAACGTTTCGCCTACACAGTAGGCTTCTTCAGTCAGATACAGAGGCTGCCTCTGTATTTAACTGAAGAAGCCTACTGTGTAGGCGAAACGCTTCAACCATAAAGATCCCAACCTTTTGCAAAGTATGTATCATACCCCAAGTTATCGGCGTAGAAGATTCGAAGCTGATCGGATGAGCCACTCAAATTATCACATGAAACACAGTATTTCAATTTTCCAAATTTCACTAAAATTGGCACCTCTAATTCCAAATCTTTTTCTGAATACGATTCACCAACGTTAAGGTTTGAAGACGACCAGAAGAGGCGTTCACCATTAACTACATACAAAAAAAATTGTTTAATATAATTAATAAATGGGATTTATGCTGGAAATTTTAAATTAAATTTGGTGCCCTATCTTTGTAATATTTTTTTAAGTTAATTTTTTGAGAACTTATAAGTTATTATCAATGGAGCGTGAATATATGTTAGGTAAATGGACAGATGTAACTAATGCGACATTTTATTGCCACATTAAAATATCACATTAGTTGCATCTGTGTCCATTTACTTAACATTTTGTCGGTAATTCCACCATTATTACTAGTGTGAAGATGCCCATCGTCACTGCGCTGAAGAATCCCCTGGTGGGAGAAACGTCTCCTTACTGTCTTGATCAAGGCATACGTGTGTTTCTCACATACTAGTCTGTGTTAATCACCGTATTTGTTACGCAAGCTCGTAATTCTCAACGCAATCAATTTGCATTTAGCACGCATCACCAGCTATACCATCGGCGCTGTCAGTGGGCAACCTCTCCAGAGACGAATGGTCTTGTTAAAACTCCTTTTGGCTCCATTGTGTTTATCCTGCAAGCTGTATTACAAAAACAAACTACAGGCTCACGAATTTCAAACACCGGGATTTTTTTTTTGTTTTTGGATGGAGAGTAGAGGAGGAGCAGAGAGTGTTTGCGTTTGTTGCTGAGGCTGTTTTAAAGTACTGCCTGTAGGGGCTCTTTTGAGAAGATGCTGATAATAATAATAATATCAATAATTATAATATCAAGACTAATAAATCAGTAATAGCAATATCAATAATAATAATTATCAAGAATAATACAAAAATCAATAATAATAATTTCAGTAATAATCCTGACCTCTTATGTTTTTTATATCTCTTCAGTAGTAAGAGCAACAAGTAACATAGACTCTGTGAAAAGAATTCAAGTATAGGCCAGAATAAAGTGGTCACCCTACTGGAGCAGGTGATTGTATCAAGTGTCACCGTACTGCAGCAGGTGTTTGCACAAATATAACATGGTCGTAATTCTGGACCGCTGTTGACTTAAACAACAGGGGGGGGGGGGTCATGGTCGCAGGCACCAGCAATATGTAGTGTTGAATATGTAGCTGATCTGCTCCTTTGGTTTAATGGTTAATTTTATTTAAAGCCTACCGACTACACGAGCGCCACTAAAGCTGTGCAGGTTACCTGTTCACCGACAGTAAAGAATACTTTAATCCCTAAAGTATGGACTAAAGTCATCTCTGTGTACATAGCCTGAGACACACCTCACGGTGTACATATCCTATGCTTCTTGGAAAAGGTTATAATTTACTGTACAATTCTTACATGGGTCCTACAAACTAAATGGTAGGTGAAAGGCTTTGTTACCTCCTTGATGCCGGTGAGAGGCTCTTGATCAGGGGAACTGGACTTATCTTTCCCTTCTTTAGATCAAACCTGATGTCATATTCCACAGGTGCTATGACTTTTATATGAATATAGATCTTCTCAATGATTAAAAGACAAAAATTGCCACCTCAGGTGGTATCTGTCTACCCTGGCTCGTGTGCTAATCATCGTGTTGACATGTAATAGCTGCAAAGTTAGGTATCTTTTTTCGGAAGCGTTTCGCCTACACAGTAGGCTTCAGTCGAGTACAGAGACACCAGAAGCAATAGAAATGTGAAGACAATGTAATCAGTCTATCACTCTTGACGTAGTTTTGAGGTGGTCAGTCCCTCAGCCTGGAGAAGAGTTTTGCTCCATAGTCTGGAATTTCGTCTTGAGTGTTTGAGGCAAGCTGATTTTTTTTTTGTTGCCACTACAAGTTTAATCACCTCTAGCTTTATCCCAAGACTGCTTCCTTCACTCCCTACCTCCCTCCCTCTCACCCTGTCTCTCACTCCTTGCCTTCCTCCCTGTTTCTCACTCCTTGCCACCTTCCTGGTTTCACTCCGTCCTCTTCCCGGTCTTACTCCTTGCTTACTTTCCTGCCCTTTTCCCTTCTACTTCTTTCCCTGCACCCTTCCCTCCCTCTCTACCTCCCTCCTGCTTCCTTTCTGTTTATCTGCTTTCCTTCCTGCCCTCCCTCCCTTTCCCCCTTCCTTCATGCACTGCCTCCCCTCCTACCGTTTTCTACCTTCCTGCCTGCCTTATTGTCCCTGCCTGCCCTATTGTTCCTGCCTGCCCTCTTGTTCCTCCCTGCTCTCTTGTCCCTCCCTGCTCTCTTGTCCCTCCCTGCCCTCTGCTCCCTCCTTGTCTTGAGGATTCTGGAGGGGCGAGGCGTGTAACGCTTGTTAGCGGCGGCTGCTGTTAAAACTCGAGCAACTACTCCACGAAATGGCAGGCCATTACGGACTAACAAGAAAAACCTCCTCCATGATCCCTCGCCTCTGATCTTTTGTCTTAATGGTCGGCGACCAATGGTTCTGCCTCACCCGCCTCGCTTCCTGGCCCAGACAGCCTCCACGGCTCTGTTAGCTGCTATCACTCTAGGGCTCTGTCAGCTGCTCTTACGCCAGGGCTCTGTCAGCTGCTCTTACGCCAGGGCTCTGTCAGCTGCTCTTACGCCAGGGCTCTGTCAGCTGCTCTTACACCAGGGCTCTGTCAGCTGCTCTTACACCAGGGCTCTGTCAGCTGCTCGAACTCTGGCCAACATCATTTAATGGACGGTTTTAAAGTTTGTATCAGCCTGGCTGGCACGTGTGTGATGAACGATTTGAGATCTTGGGGAGTTGAATTCCAGCTCAAGGCCCGGCCTCTCAGCTGGCCGTAACTATTCCTTCCAAGCCTCTGTTGCTGGAGGTGGTGGAGGTAGTGTTTTATTCGTCAGGAAACAACCCAGTGCCTCCTGATACTAATCTTGGTGTGAGGAGAGACGGGTTAATGAAAAAAGCCAATTCGCATTATGCCCTGTCATACCTAATCTTAAATCTGTGCATGTTGTCTGCCTTCGTCACTTCATTTCATCCCACTCTTTCATTACCCAAAGCTGAAGAAATATTTCATGACATCTCTGCGATTTATTTGTCTTAAGCTTAGACTGTGCACTCGTACACATGTGCCCCCCCTCTTTGTTCTTCCGGCTCCATTGCCTCGCAACAAAAGCTCTGGCTGTATTATTCGTGTGTTCGCCTGGTGGATGTTCATCCATAGTCGCTTATGAAATGTTCTGATGATTCATAATTAAGCTCCTAAATAAGTAACATGGCTGGCTTCATTTTAGCCGAGTGAGTTTGACCTTAAATATGCATCAGTCAAACATTTGTAAGTGGAAAAAAAGTAAAAAAATTTGCTCGGAATTCTCGTATAATTCCGTTTATTCAGGAATAACATTACAGGTGCAGACGCATTTGTATGTAGAAAAATCTGGCACTGGTAACATTGAAAACATCACTATGGAGAAATGCTTATTAAATCACGTACTTGTTTTAGTAAGAGGGAATGTACAATAATTTCCTGATTCATTTCTATACATGATGTGGAATTCAAGGTTGATTTAATAACTTTTGATGCAGTTAGACATTCCTTTGACAGGTTTCGAGAGTTTTCCTTTCGCAGCAGTCTGCCTGAGGCCAGAGTTCCCTCCTAATTGACATATCAACCAGGCTCTTGCTGTGAAGGAAGGAAGAGTGCAGAGCAAACTTTTGTTGGGACAGCGTTTTGCTCTATGCAGAGCTTTATCAAATCAATTTAGCACTGTCGTGTATATAAATGTTTTCCAAATTTTCCATCTTAGCGGGACACTTGGCTTTTTTTTATCGTGATTGTGTAGCCCAGGGGTTCTTAACCGGGGTTATCCATACCCCTTAGGGGTATAGGAACCAAATAATGGGGGTATGGAATTAGATCTCTGAACAATTGAAGAAAAAAAGTTGTTAGATGAGCATAAACTATCAGCTGTTCTGTTTCTAGCTATCCATATGTAAAGTAAAGACATACTGGTACCTATTAAGACGGGGGTGATGATTTCGGCAGTGTGGTGTAAACCAAAGCCACTGTCACACACTACCAGAATTTTCACAGCAGCATGTATGCTCTTTCGCTGCTATTATCTATACTGTAGCCATATGTGCCTCCACAATTCTTGTAGTTTCAGACTCTCAAAGTGAGTTGCAACCTAATTTTATCGGCACCCGGTTTTTTTCTTCAGAGTTGTCAGTAGTACGCTGCTGTATCCACATTGATGCTAAACTAGTGTTCTCTTCGCCAGGTGTTCTTGTGGCCCGAGAATTACCTGGGAGCGGTCGGGGAGGTGGTAACCTTCCACGCCCATGCCCTCGGTACCGACCTCCACTACGACTGGTTGCTACCAGGGGGAGAACACCTTCATGATTCAGGTAGGTACTGAGGTACTGGTGTGTAGTGTTCTGCAGGTGGGTGTACTAGTTCCTGCCAGGGTGGAGAACCTTCAAGATGCTAGTAAGTATTGGTTGATAGTATTCTCAAGATGTACTATCCTGGTCTCCGTCTATGATATATCTCTTACATACATCTGTTAATACTTCCGGTGATTATCGCCCCGGCGGTCACATGTCAGATATTGTAAAATAAATACCTCAAAACGTAATAATTATTAAGAGACACCCAGGGAAGTGAAGATAATTTTACAATGAATGCAAAAGGAAGTTTGTAAGACTTAACTGCCATTTTGATTGTGAGACAGAAAAGACCGGCAATCTTGACAGAGTGCAAAAACTCTTACCAGGTTTCAGTTTCACACCTCCTAACGTATATATACAAGTGTAACAACGGTGCTCACAGTACTACTCGTGAGACTGGTATCCGAAAGGGAAGTAGAATCAAATTAGTTCCTGTAGTAATTCACAGCCACAAATGTGCTAGCGTTAGTAGTGGCATGCCCACGTTCTGGGTGCCTAACGTTTGAAGCATGGTGGCCTAAGTCGTAGAGGATTTTAGTTTATTCCTAGGAAACGGGTAAAAATATCCCGGCTAATCGCAGTAGGTTAATTGCTTTAAAAGCACTTGCTTCGTGGATGCATTTATGTCATTCATATATATATATATATATATATATATATATATATATATATATATATATATATATATATATATGTGTGTGTGTGGTATATATATAAAGCCTGACTTGAGTTCTGGAAATGGGAAGTACAATGCCTGCACTTTAAAGGAGGAGTTTGGGATATTGGCAGTTTGGTGGGATGTGTAATAGGATGGTACATATATAATTGGGCCCCCTGATATTGATTTATTTCAGGTCACTTTTTATATTGTATCTTTATATATGTTTCTAAACTGTTGTATTCTGAGCACCTCTGCAAAAACAGTGATTATGTATGAGTGAGGTGAAAGTGTTGAATGATGATGAAAGCATTTTCTGTTTTTGGGAATTTTCTTTCTTTTTGGGTCACCCTGCCTCGGTGGGAGACGGCCGACTTGTTTATATATATATATATATATATATATATATATATATATATATATATATATATATATATATATATATATATATATATAATATATAAACAAAAAGAAAGAAAATCCCCAAAAAGGAAATGCTTTCATCATCATTCAGCATTTTCACCTCACTCATACATAATCACTGTTTTTGCAGAGGTACTCAAAATACAACAGTTTAGAAGTACATACGTATAAAGATACACAACATATCCCTCCATAGGTAAAATTGGTCAATAAGCAAGAACTCGTTTAAAATTAAGTTCTTTCTAAAATTTTCTCTTATAAGTTTAAAGATATATATTTTTTGCATTTATGTTAATGAAAAAATAATAATCTTGTACCAAAAGAACCTTAGAAAACTTGCCTAACCTTATTATAACAAGCGCAATTTAATTTAGCTTAATCCAACTAAATGTATTTTAGACAAGTTTACAATAATTTAATAATAAACAAACACAATGAAATATATATTTTTCGTTAGGTTCAGAACTATTTTTGCGAAATTATTGTATACACAAATTTTCGCTTGCAAGAAGAGCGTTGCTATTTAAGCCAAAATCGCAACAATTACCTATTCGGCACGACATATATGCAAGACAAACCAAGTCCCCCGTGGCTTGTCATTATATATATATATATATATATATATATATATAATATAATATATATATAATATATATATATATATATATATATGGGGTTACTAGCCCCATGCTCCCGGCATTTTAGTCGCCGCTTTTGACATGCTTGACTTACTGACGAAGAATTCTTTTCTACTTCCCCATGGAGATGCATGAGTGATGGTGTTTTGACAGATAATGTGTTTGTGCTGTGAGAGTCGTGTGCTAGGATTATGGCGTGTTTTTTTTGCAGTGTCACTTGCACATGCTACCTACAAGTGTTTCCTACTTTGATGTTTGTTGCAAATAAACGCTTATACGTGTATATATTATATCATGAAGTGTTAAGCCAAGCCAAAGTAAACGTTTTAAGAAGGCCAGATTTTTTTTTAGTCAGCAGTTATTCTACAGTTATTCATAAGTGTATAGAAAGTTAAACATAACAGTATTCACAGTTATACTATTAAACATAACAGTATTCACAGTTACTGTTAAACGTAACAGTAACAGTTGCGTGCAAGCCGGGTAATTAACCTTTAACCATTTCCGATCTTAAACTCATTACACAGTTTCGAAGAACTTTTCGCCCAAGTCCCGGGCACCAGGTAGAGGAAATTTAACCAAATTATAATATGCATATTGGGGGCGGGGCGGGGGGCGGAAAGTGATAAGAGAAAGTTTAGGCAATAACCTCGCCATTTACTAGACAAAATTTTTGTTGAATTAACTTTGGCCATACTCAGATTTTTGTTTTCGTTTAACAAGAGTTAGACCGGGTATTGTTTACACAGCTGACAAAAGTTAGGCCAGGTATTCAAATAACCCGCACATAGGAGAGAGGAGCTTACGACGACGTTTCGGTCCGACTTGGATCATTTACAAAGTCACACTAACGAGGAGAGCAGGATGGGGTTATTTGTGTATCGTTCCAGTCACGGTATTGTCTTTTTTGTTATTTAGACCAGGTATTGTTTACAGAGCTGACAAAAGTCGGGCCAGGTATTGTTTACACAGCTGACAAGAGCCAGGTCAGGTATTTTTACCAGCTGACAAGAGCCAGGCCAGGTATTGTTTCGATAGTGTGTGTAATCGCCGAGACGTGTTTGCGAGGGGTAAGTCTTGTTTTGGGCTCTAGGCTCTCTGGCTTAATGCACACTAGACCAGGATCGTTGTTCCCCTACTTCTTGGACGAATATTATTTATCTTGAAATGTTTTTGGATTTTGGGTTTCCCACTACGCCCTCCTCAAGACGTATAATATTTACTTGAAACTGCGAGGGGGATCACTTGGTACTCTGTTCTCACCCTCCGTCGTCTTTACAACCCCCTTAAAGTAAATTTTATGTAAACTCCTAATTCCATTATATCATGGATTCGTCTCTCAAACCCTTATGGTGAGGACGGTGCTGCTGCTCCCCCTGGGTTGTCTGGGGGAGTTTTATTTTCACCAACATGGCGCAGGCTCGCCGGCGAGGGTAAATCGTCTGCTTTGTATTAACCAGGGGGGGGAGCTGTACGGGGCCTCAAGGGATTTGCTTTTTGCCTGCAATCTCAGAGTACCTACGGAATAGCAAAGAGGAGATTTGTGGACTTGCATTGAAGGGAACGAAGAGGATTTTTGTAAAATTTAGTTCGGCGACTGTGTATGAGGCATTTTTGTGAATAAGTTTAAAGGGGTGGCCATACCAGTTAACCATGCTGTGCGGGCGGCTGATGATGTGCCCAGTATTACACAGGGGTTTAAAAGTCAGGAATGTGCCGTTCGAGGCGGTGACTGAATCCGGTTCATTTGTTAAATACGGCACAATACATGATCACTGCGGAAGGTGGCATTTGGGCCAGTAAGGGGGATCCCTGAGGGTGCATTCTCTGTCAAGATGACGCTCGACATCCTTTCCCATCGTACGTGGTGATGAAGATTTGGGACTAGGTTTTTAACATACGCTGGGCAGCGAACACTTGCCGTTTGTGCGGTCGTATGATCACCTGGTGCGCAAGGGAAAAAAAAGACGTGGGATAGGGCCCACAGCAAGCGTGATGTGGGGGGAAAGGAAGGGGGAAAAATTTCAACTGTTTTCGACTCTGCCCAGCGGTTTGACATGGAGTGAGGAGGTTGAGGGGGCCGAAGAAAAGGAGAGGGGGGGGCACGCGGGGGGGACGACTCACTTCCCGGACTTGTAAATGCTTGATGAGGTCATCGGGGAAAAGCGAAGGTATGACGCGGAAAACTACGATGTGCGACGTTTGAAAAACTTTTTGGAAAATGAGAGTCCTTGTCCGGATGTTGGACAGACCGGATCGGGTCTGCAGTTGAGGAGGGCGTGGTGCGCCAACCCAGCTGAAGTGTGCTTTGGATGCACAGTTGGTGAAATGTGGAGGGGGGTTCATCAGGGACGGCTGGTGATTATGCGGTCGGGGGTACACGCGAAAGCGCGCAGCGTGCTTTCGGATTCCGACGACGTGCTTACGCCCGCACAAAGACCTGGGAAAAAAACAGGGGCGGAACCCATGGGAGAGGTTCAAGGGCGCCCAGGGGGGGGGGTTGGGAAAGGGGTGGACAGAAAGGGGGGGGGAGGGAAAAGGGTGAAAGAAACACAGGTGATAATCGGTAGTGGTCAAGGGGGAAAACCCCCCTTTGTGGGTTTTTAAAAGTGCCTGACATTGAACATCAATGGCTTGAGGTCCAAAAAAAGTGTAGTGGTTTAAGGGAAATTTTTTGGTGCGCATGACTTTGAGTTGTGTTTTTGCAGGAACAAAATTTTGGGCGGGTTATGGTTGAAGGTGGAGGGGTATAATGTGTATGTTGGCATGCAGTCAGATTGAAAGGGGGTGGGGGGCCTTTTGGGAAAGAAATACCCTTTGGTTGTCAGGCTAGTGAGGGGGGGGAGGGGAGGGGATTCCGGGGAGGGTTTGGGGTCAGGTACAGAACGTTGGTGTGGGTATGGCCCGCAGGGGATGTGGGTTTAAAGAATAAATTCGTAAGGGACTTTTTCTGGTTATTTTTGGTGGATTGCCGGGGGTTGCTGTGATAGGGGTGATGGAACTGTGTGAAAAGGGGAATAAGGATGTTGAACCAGAGGGGCAGGGCATTGTTTGGGGATATTGGGGAATTTTATCCGGTGGGATGACAGATGTTGAGGGAGGGGGTGGGGGACACATTTTTTAAACGTGGGTATGGGGTAGGCTCGACGTTACTTCCCCAGGACAGTTGTAATACATAGTGGGGGGTAATGGACTAGTATTTTCTGTCACAGGGGTGTTTTGGGGTATAGGTTGGGGGGTTGCCGAGAAG